TATGAAACAATAGTTTGTAAACCAAAATATGTCTACTGTAATGTTTGAAGAATGACAGACAAAAGACGCTCTTAACTTTTAATCAGAACGCAGAAGAGCTGTATCACAGGCACACAAGCCTAACGAACTCGCTCGTCTCTTACGCATTAACCCTATAACTGCCGGTGCAGCAAAATAAACAGAAATTTCACAATGATTATAAAGTCTGTGCACTACACTACATTCTTTATTATTAAACGAAGTAATTAGAACAACGTCCGTCTACATTAATCGACACATTCTTAGGAAATAGTGGGTTCACAGCGAATTATCAGAACTTCAGAATTTCAGTAAAACAGCAATATTGTGCTTTACCTGGAAACCTAAAGCTGCACTAGGTATACATGACATATTAGCACACAAAAAAATTTCTCGACACAGAGAGTGTTTATTTCGTGGGCAGGCGGGGATTATGCTAATGTGTTACCCAGTGACGTAGATCGGTAACAGGCAGAAGATTCGAAAATATAACGACTAGTTAAGGCGATTCTGAGTCGACTCTTTCGTTTGAGAGACAATATCTTTATTTATCATGCACTTTTTTGATTAACAACTTTGCAGACTGTTTACATTGAAGGATAGCTACCTTACAAACTGCAAAATAGATATTTTTCGAAAACCCATAAGACCTGCTCTTTAAGGACCCATCAGCCTGCACCAGCCTGCTCCATAGAGTTTCATGACAGAACTTGACATTTGTGCCATATGTCTATTCCTTAGTATTGGTACTATTGTTAGTTATATATTGTTATTTATTGTACATTTATGCGTTTTGCAGTATTGCATCGGACGCTAACCAGTCAGGTTTCAGGAGAGGACATTCAACTGAGACTGCGCTACTGTCAGTCACGGAAGCGACAATACACACCCTTTGCTTAGCCATTTTTTCCACAATCAGGAAGAACCCAAACACCTCCAGCCTGGAAGTTAGCAACTGGTCAGGAAGGAACTCCATAAAAACCCCATGGCACAGGTAAGAGATACAAACATCATAAATCCAGTCACAAATACATCAAAAGTCAGATCTAACATCTGTTTTGATCTTTTGATTTACACACCCCACTATCATGTCAGTCAGGGGTGACAGGACCCCGGTGACATGGCAGTCAGGGTGACAGAGGGGTCATATAGCCATAAATCAGGTCATAAATCAGGTCATAAATCAGGTCATAAATCAGGTCATAAATCAGGTCATAAATCAGGTCATAAATCAGGTCATAAATCAGGTCATAAATCAGGTCATAAATCACCAATCTGACACATAGTGCATTGTAATACTACTGTGGTAGCTACTTTCCAAGCACGTATTGGTGCAAACGCCGGTACAACAAATGGATATGGAGCATCTAAAGAGCTCATGCAAGCAGCTGTGCTTATTTCCCAGCTAACAATTTTTGGTTCCTAGAATTTTCCCAGAAAGTTAGTTTTTGGTTCCCAAAAATAATAACCAAATGGGAACCAAAATATATATATATAAACACACACACACACACACACACACACACACCCACACACTACCAGTCAAAAGTTTTTGAACAGTAAGATTTTTAATGTCAGAGAAAAAAAAGAAAAAATCTTGACATGGGGCACATCAGGTAATCACATGCGAGACTATGGGTTTTGTTTGTGGGAACAAAATGTCAAAAACAAAAAGTGGCTTCATAAACAAACAAGGCTTTTTGCTTTGCTTGCTATGTGAGTGCCTGGATGTGGATTTTTTTTTTTTTGCAATGAGATCCACTTTTTTAAGATTTGTAATGCTTTTTAAAGAATTATCTTCTGCTCACTAATCCTGCATTTATTTGATCCAAAATACAGCAAAATCAGTAATATTGTGAAATATTTTTACTATTTAAAATAACTGCTTTCTATTTGAATATATTTTAAAATGTAATTTATTCCTGTGATTTCAAAGCTGATTTTTTTAGCAATATACAAAATAAAAAATAAATATATATAATAAACAAATAAATACATTTTAGTAATAATAATAATAATGTAATGAATTGGTCGTGTTTCGACACCTAGTAAGCTGCCTACCTAGACAGCATATGTGGGCGCCATAGGTGCGTTTAAACACTTTTAAACCTATTTATGAACTGATATTCATTGGAAAGAGGCATGGTTAAATCCATATAAATTTTGCATGTTGAATAAAGTTAAAGAGGTACACTTTAAAATACTTCACAAAATCTACCCATGTAAAGCTTTCTTATCAAAATTCATGGATATTGACAACAAATGCAGTTTTTGTAATGTACACGAGGAAGACTTGGGTCATTTGTTTTACAGCTGTGATTTATCTTTGAAATTTTGGTCTGATGTTAGCTTTTTTCTATTTGCCCCAAGAAATGTTAATTATAAATTATCTTTAAAAGATGTTATATGTTCTTACACACACAAAAGCAAAATGTTTAAATATGTTGTAAACTTTTACATTTTGCATGGTAAATATTACATTCATAAACAAAAATTTGCGGATTGTATACCTAAATGTGAAGTATTCTTAAAAGAAATGGAGTTGTTAAAAAAGTCTTTAGTGTTAATTAATAACAAAAATAATGAAATTTTGTTAAATTTTATGGAGAAATTCTTTGAAAAATAATGTCCCCGCTATGCTTTTCAACTCATTTGTATACTAAATATGTCTCTAGGGAAAAGGAAGAAATATATATTTTTTATTTATTTATTTATTTATAATTTTTATTTAATTTATTTATTCTATGTTTTTCAAAGAAAATCTCTGTGGCTTGTCACAAAACCTGGTGAATGACATTTCTAGACAGCATTTTTTGAGCATCAATGGTGTTTCACTCAAAAGATACCTAGTTAGACATCTTTTGAGTGAGTTACTTGAGTTACTCCAGTCTCTGATCATATATATATGTTTGTTTATGTCTTATTGTGAGGTCAAATGTATTTATGTTGCTAATTCTTCATAATTGGTGACGCTGAAGTGGCTTTGCTTTCAGCCTCTCACCCCCACCGCAAAACTTCTGTGCTGAAGATGGATGAGGCGTCCCTTTCGGTTACCAATGAGATTGAGAATGACATGATGCTATATGTGGTTTCTGATCACTGTTACAAGGTATCAAATATACATGTTCTGGGTATACATGCAATATAGCATTGATACTGAATACTGCCATAATGATAATGACATTATTTAATGTGCCTGTGTAATGCTGCTTAATTAAAGGAATATTTCACCCAGAAATTAAAATGTGCTGAAAATGTACTCATCCTCAGGCCAAACAAGATGTTGATGAGTTTGCTTCTTCATCAGAACAGGTTTGGAGACATTTTGCATTACCTCATCCTCTGCAATGAATGGGTGCCGTCAGAATGAGAGTTCAAACAGCTGATAAAGACATCACTCTAATCCATGACTTCAGTCCATCAATTCATTTTTAGTGAAATGAAAAGCTGTGTGTTTGTATAAGAAACAAATCTATCATTTTTATCTAGCATTTTAACTTTAAACCATAGCTACTGGCAAAAAATAGGAGTCCATAATCCATAATAACGCTTCCTCCAGTGAAAAAGTCCACCCCCTTTGTCCTCTCATCAAAATTCACCAACACACTGCTTGGTTTGTGCATATTTCTCTCCTGAGTCAGATGATGTTTTCACTGTAGAAAGCAAAGCAATATTATGAATAGAAGACTCATATTTTAGCTGGATACAACAGTTTGAAGTTAAACACGACTTAATGGTGAAATTGTTTATTACAAGCACACAACTTTTTGTTTAAAAATACATTAATTAATAGACTGGAGTCGTGTGGATTACTTGTGGATTATTGTGATGTTTTTAGCAGTTGTTTAAACTCTAATTCTGATGGCACCCATTCACTGCAGAGGATCCAGTGGTAAGCAAGTGATGTAGTGCTAAATTTCTCCAAATCTGTAACGTTGAGGGGAAACATATTGAATGGCCTGAGGTGAGTACATTTTCAGCAAATTCTAATTTTTGGGTGAACTGTTCCTTAAATGCTGCAGTATTGTTCCAACTGGACCTCTGTATCGCTGTGTTGTCTGTGCATGCGTGTACATTAGTGTTTGCCCCAGCTGTTGGGAATAATACCCGCAAGGCCAGCTTCTGGGACCCCCACTACGGTGGGGTTTGTTGTAGGCACACAACACGCACTGACACTGCAGCTCAACAGCACCTCTGCAAACTTGGAGCAATGCAAGTGAGTTAGACATCAATACATTTAACACAGAACAATGAGAGTTTCAGACCAAAACATATTCACTGTTTATTTGCTTTGGCCATTATTAACAAGGCATTATTATCTGACTATTTTTTTTTGTTTTATCCAGTGTTAACTTCCACTTTGGGGAGCAGGGGAACTATTCTCTGTGGGTGAAGAACCTGAATGAGCCATCACTGGTCAGCTGCTCGATGATCACTGATTCTGAGCCCATTAACAGCTACCTGCGTGAGTCAATTTTGCATCTGCACACTTCAATTAGTTTTTAATTATTATTATTATTTTTTTGTCTTTAAATGAATTCTTACTAGTGGTCAACCAGTATAAATTCTTCAGTGGCCAACATCTGATTGATTTAATGTCAGTATACATAATGCAATTTAATAACTGGCAAATGGGGCATACATGTCTTATTTTATACATTATTAACTGAAAAGAGAAAAAAAAATGTTTATGATGTATATTTTGTGTGGGATCTAATATTTCTGTTAATCTGTCAAGTGGGTTGCCAAATATTGAAAGATTAATTAGCCTGGGCCAGTACATGGCCTTGAAAAGATGTTTATGAATAATTCTGGACAAAAAAAAAAAGTAAGAAAATCGAATTACTTTTGGTCAACTAATATACATGTTTAATGGCGATATCTGACCAATTTAAATGTCAGTGTATACATAATGCTGTTTAATAATGGCAAATGAGACATACAAAAATGTAATGACAATTATTTTACAGATTACTAACTGATTTTAAAAATATAAAAAAAAAATATTGAAAGATTAATTAGCCTGGGCCAATACATGACCATGAAAAGAGGATTTATTTTTTAATAAATCAGGGCAAATTCCAAATGGCATTTTGCGTCCTTGAAGGGCATTTCGGGAAGAGGGTGCCTTTTGTAGAGACGTTACAAACAAAAGTGAACAACAGAATACCTTTACAAAGGGCTCTTCCAGAAGTCTGTTACATGCAATAGTCACTTCAAGGAGGTGATTTCTGTTTGATCTTGGATTATGAGTTATTGTGATGCACTGTGAAGCAAAGTTGGGGTTGATCTCGACTACACATACAAATGTAAATAATGTATTTAAATTTAACTAAGCTTGGTAGATGAGTGTTTTTTTCTTTTTCCAGCTATTTTGTTTGCTTTTCTGGTATTTGCTCTTCTGGCTGCATTATCTGCTGTCTGGAACACCGTTAAAAGGTACAGACATTTTCAAATATAATTTTCAGAATGTACTGATGCCATTTAAACAATCCAGAACAGTTTGTTTCAGCTGTTCTATTTAGAAAACTTGTACAATTGAGTTTTTCTATTTTTAAGACTGGATGTGGTGACAAATCTACTTCTTTGCTTGGGGAGCACAGTGGAGACAGAGAGGCTGATAAACTCGGTAAGAGTGCTATTCACTTATTTTATACTTTTATTAATTTTTTTTGCACTCTTAATATTGTCTATGCATGATTTTCACATCTTCAAAAAAGAAATGCAAAGCACCAAATATAAAGTTTCTGTCGTAGTTCAAACATGGCATCATGCTTGATTTAGTGTTGTTGCTGGTTCCAGCATTGGACATTTTTTTTTCTCATTAATTTACACCCTCGCGCTCTTTTTCTTTCTCTCTTGTCTGCAGGAGCTTGGCACTCCAAACAGATTGGTAGATGCCTCTATGGAATCGATAATTCCTGCCACTACAGGACGGAGGCTTCGTTCTTTGGATACTTTCCGTGGGTATGGTGCTCTTTCACTAATTGTTTTGGGTCCAATGCGCTTGAGATGGGAATTGAAAAATTCAGGTGAAAATGATCTTGCATATAAGCTGCTACTTTGCGTACTGTGAAGCTGGTTGTCAAATGTAATTTGCATTTTATTTCTCATTATCCTGAAATGGAGTGATTACATTTGAACTTGTTAAAACAAGGTTATCTTGGCTTGTAACCTTACCTAAGAATTGGAACTTAATTACAGTTGTTTTAATGTTTGGTGTTGTATTTCTGTCTGTCTGATTTGTAGGAATTCAATCGCATTATTAATTGTGGTTTGGTTTAATACCAGACCTCTGTTAAGACAGAAATGACCCTCGCTCTGTTTTCTCCACAGCCTTGCCCTGGTCATTATGGTGTTTGTCAACTACGGGGGTGGACATTACTGGTTCTTTAGGCATGAAAGTTGGAATGGTAAACGCATTTCTTTCTTTACAATAGCCACTAGCACGTTTTCAAGCATCAGATCTCGGAGTGTCTATTATTGATAACAGTGGTCATTAATAATTTTAGTATATGAATACAAAGCTGGCCAAATGAATAAGGTTTTTTTATGTTTATGCTCACCAAGGCTGCATTTATTGCTCAAATATACAGTAATAACAGTAAAATTGTGATGTAGTATTAGTAAAATTAATTTTCTAGTTGAATATATTTTAAAAAGTAATCTATTCCTGTTATGGCAAAACTAAATTTCCAGCAGCCCCTTACTTCAGTCTTCAGTGTCACATGATCCTACAGAAATTATTCTAATATGCTGATCAATTATTATTATCAATTGGTGCTCAATAATGATTGTTATTATTATCAATGTTGAAAACCGTTTTTGCTGCTTAATATTGTTGTAAAAACTGATAAAAAAACATGTCTTTACTATAACTTTTGATCAATTTAATGCATCTTTGCTGAAAACAAACAAACATTAATTTCAACATTGGTAATAAGAAATGTTTTCTCAGCACCAAATCAGCATATTAGAATGATTTCTGAAGGACCATTTGACACTGAAGACTGGAGTAATAACTGCTGAAAATTCAACTTTGCTATCACAGGAATAAATTACATTTTAAAATATATTAAAACAGTTATTTTAAATTGTAAAAAAGCCTTGGTGCGCATACGAGACTTCTTTTAAAAACATTAGAAAGAGTAAATTATTCCAAACTTTTGGCTGACAGTGTATATATTTAGAATATGTCTGAAAAGCACTTGTTATGAATTTAGACCGTGGTTTGACAGCAGGAAGTGATATCTGATGTGTTCTTCCTCTCGCAGGGCTCACAGTGGCTGATCTCGTGTTTCCTTGGTAAGTCAATCCGATGTCACAAATGACTGATTCCTCACACTGCATGCATATAGAGCAGCTTCCTTACACTCTGCTTGAGCTGTTTCTTTATAGGGCAGTATTGTAAAATAGCTTCTGCAAGCCACATCAGCGCTGGCATAAGCTATAGTATATCTGAGCCAAGCATGGGCGCTTATCACTGTGGCACAAATGAAGTCGCATATCAGAGTCAGCATAAATTGGTTTCACAGTTGAACTAAACCCAATAACCTTGTTTTCTGCTGTGCAGCTGAAGAAAGTGTATGCAGCAGTGCTACTCAGGTTTACACCTTTGTGAGGTTTTAGGAAGTCTGTATGAAATGACCGACAATAATATTGTTGGGTGCTTATCACTGTGGCACAAATAAAGTGGAATATCCGAGTCAGAATAAACTGGTTTCACAGCTGAACTAAACCCAATAACCTTGTTTTCTGCTGTGCAGCTGAAGAAAGTGTCTGCAGCAGTGCTACTCAGGTTTACACCTTTGTGAGGTTTTAGGAAATCTGTATGAAATGACCGACAATAATATTGTTCCAAGCCATTTTTTACATTTTAAAATATAATACTGTATATTCCTGTGATGGCAAAGCTGTGAGTTTTCAACCTGTGTTTGAGCCTGTATTTGAATGCTTGTGAACATTTTTTCAATTTTTACACCGTATATAACGACAACATATAGCAAAAAAGTGTTTTTATTATTAACAATCCAAGATAAAGAATGCCCACATTTTTTTAATACAAAGGCCTAAACTTGTAAATGTTGCTAAAAGTAAATGTTGCATTATATCTAACTGCATTATATTAAAATGTATTAAATTAATAGTTAAAAATATATATTTTTTATTTAAAATTGTTAATAATATTTTTTATATTTTCTAGTGCTGTCAAATGATTAATCGCAATAAAAGTTTTTGTTTGCATAATATATGTGTGTGTACTGTGTATGTTTATTATGTATGTATAAATACACAGTATATATTTTGAAAATATTTGCATGTATTTACGTCTATATTAATATTCATATAATTTATATTATAAATAAATATATTTAATATATAAACAACATATTTTTCTGAAATATATACATGCGTGTGTGTGTATTTATATATACATAATACATATACACAATACACATACATATATTATGTACAGTGAACAAAAACTTTTATTCTGGATGCGATTAATCGTGATTAATCATTTGACATAACTAATATTTTCTAATAATATTCACTTAAATTGTTTTTACACTTTAATGGGGAATATATATATTATAAAACATATAAAACAATTATTATTATTTTTTTTAAACTAAATGTATTTATGTTTAAAAAAACATACATTTTCTATTTTCTATTTTTTTTTCCCCCCATAATGACCTTTCATTTAGCCCACCAACTTTGACCCATGGGTGCTGGTTTGTGCATCTGTGGTATACATAGACAGGAAACCAGTGGGAAATGGGATCATAACATGACAAAGACTGCAGACAAATGTGTGCTGCACATGTTGAAGAGAAATTGGTTTTCACACAATTCTGTATGTGGATGATGCTTAATCTGTGTGTTGGAAATCATGTCAGAAAATAACACTTTCTGAAATGGGTATCCTTTTTTTCTCTCTACCATTGTGTCTTACTTTGTGTAATTTTTGTCTTCACAGGTTTGTGTTTATTATGGGTACTTCTATTGGTTTGTCCCTGAGCGGTTCATTGCGCAGCGGTGTCAAACGCACTCATCTGCTGTGGAAGATTTTCTGGAGGAGCTTACAACTATTTCTTATCGGAGTCATCATCGTCAATCCTAACTACTGCCAAGGACCCTGTGAGTAGTAACACATTTTCCTTCTGTTTCTTCTTAAAACCTACAAACCCAATCTCTAGCCCAATGCCTGTACTAATTCTACATTAGTTTATAAACGAAATACAGTGTCATGAAACACATCAGTACAAAAACAAAAGTGTTGCGTTTATAATTTTGTTCAGTGTAGAACAATGGATCAACAATGCTGATCATTTATTAAATATTCAATATTGACTTGACTTGCTCACACATGCATATCAAATCTAAAATTTCTTCTCCAATAAAATGCTCTTTTAACAAGATTACCATCTTCCTCCAAGTAGCAATAGTAAGTAGAAAATCATGGTTTGCTAAAATATAACGTACAAAAGGCATGTGGCTATTTAAACATATTTCTTACCCCAGCTTCCTTTTTCAATAGGCAATACATCCACAAAGAAAAGAAAATTGCACAAACATGGGGTTGTTAATATTATATGTTCAAACTCAACATTTCCATGTCACCTTGTCAATTGTTTTTTAGTAATCTGCTCACAAAAATTAGTGTAAGATTTAATGGAATGTGAAGTTGAAGACTTTAAAGACAATTTAAAAGTAAACAGTGTTAAAAATTAGTGCTGGGCAACGCGATTAATCACATCCAAAATAAAAAGTTTTTGTGTACATAATATATGTGTGTGTACTGTGTATATTTATTATCTATATATAAATACACACATGCATGTATATATTTAAGAAAAATATGTTATGTTTATATATTAAATATATTTATATATAATATAAATTATATCAATTTAAATATATACATGTAAGTACATGTAAATATTTTCTAAATGTATACTGTATGTGTGTGTCTTTATTTATTTATATATATATATATATATATATATACATAATAAATATACACAGTAGTACACACGCATGTATTATGTACACAAAAACTTTTATTTTGGATGTGATTAATTGTTGCCTATCACTATTAAAAATATAAATGCTGATCTTTTTATGCATGTGTCCATGTATCTGTACAGTGTCTTGGGATTCTCTGCGTATACCTGGGGTATTACAGCGTCTGGGCTTCACATATCTCATTGTCGCTATCTTGGATCTTGTGGTGGCACGGGACCGACTTACCAACTTGTCAAGTGTCAGTCAAGCTATCCTTCTCTGCACGTAATATGACACATAATCATAAATACACTTTATAGACATACATACTCGGCTGTATGTGCTTACCAGGCTTTTGTCTCTTCAATGAATAACCGAATATTTGATTCATCCATTTGTAAAAATATACAATGGGGTCCAAATATCTTGAGACCAATATTATTTAAAATTTTTCCAATTTACACTGCCCTCCGGTTTTTGAAAGAAGTTTCTTATGCTTACCAAGGCTGCATTTATATATTAATGTCTGTATTTTTTATTTTTTTTTATCAAATAAAACATTAATATTACTACTATTTAAATTAAATTTGAATATATTTTAAAATGTACTTGATTCCTTTGATGGCAAAGCTGAATTTTCAGCAGGCATTATTTCATTAGAAAATCATTCTGATATGCTGATTTGCTACTCGAGAAACATTTCAAATTTATTATCATCAATGCTGAAAGCAGTTTTTACTGCTTAATATTTTGTGAAAACTGTGCTACACTACCAATTAAAGAAAAAAAAAGAAAAAAAAAAACTTTTATTCAGCAAGGATGCATTAAATCTATCAAAAAATGACAGTAAAGACATTAATAATGTCATGGTGATACAAAATCTGTTTCAAATAATTATTATTTTTTATTATTATAACTTGAATGATGTCTGAAGGATCATTTGACACTGAAGACTTGAGTAATCATGCTGAAAATTCAACTTTGCCATCACAGGAATAAATTGCATTTAAAAATATATTCAAATAGCTCTTTTAAAATCTAACAATATTTCTCAATATTACTGTATTTTTGATCAACTAAATGCAGCTGTAATAAGCATAAGAGACTTATTAAAAATAAAATAAAAAACATGGGGGGGGGGGACTTACTTATTCCAAACTTTTGTACGGTAGTTTGAATACAATATATACAATTTTAAGTGATAAATGTAAAAGTGTAATTGAAAATTTTTCTTGAATTTTTCTTGTCATTTTTACTATTTGTACTGTATGTCCCCAAACTGGCATTAACTCCCGCTTGTAATTATTTTTAATTGTAATAATAATTTTCCATCATCTTGTTGTTCCCAGGAAACATGCTGGTATTCGGTGCATGATGTCTGCCTCTACTGGCCCACATGGCTGTTTGTGATTGCCTTTGAGACAATTTGGTTGTGTTTGACCTTCCTTCTCCCAGTCCCAGACTGCCCAACGTAAGTACAATCCTACTCATGATACGAGTCTATCATTTATTAAGACCTGCCTAAATATCCGTCCCCATGTCCCCTGCCTTATTTGCAATCATGAAAGGATCACTCTGCAGACCCTTTTTCTGCCTTGTTAAAATGACAGGAAATTTGCATAAATATCTGTAAGATACCATAAAGCTTAGAAGAATAGGTGTGACTGCTTTTTTCCTGGTTAATTATAAAGAAATTTCTTTCGCTTATTCTTATTTACATTGTTCAACATGATATTATTAGTCAGATGTAATTGGTTATATTACATAGATATGGGATATGTAAAATAAAATGAATATGCAAATGAAAGTGTTTTGAATAGCATGACTCATGTCCATCTATTTGCTATTCATGACACATTTTGTGTGGGAATTGCTATATTTTTCCTCTTGTTGTCTCTCCTGCAGTGGTTATTTGGGTCCAGGGGGCATTGGTGACTTTGGCCAGTACCAAAACTGCACTGGTGGAGCTGCAGGTTACATTGATCGCTGGCTGCTGGGAAATAACCATATTTACCAGATGCCTTCTTCACGGGTAAACGGAGACCAAAACAATGAGAACGGGTTGTCATTCTGCCAGACATATGTAGTCACTATTTGCTAGAGCCGCAGCTGATTTCCGTCTCTTACTTTGGCACTCACCCACTCACACTTCATTGTGTTTTTGTGTGCCTATATCTAGGTTGTATACCAGTCTGTGATGCCCTTTGACCCTGAGGGTGTTTTGGGAAGCATCAACTCTGTATTGATGGCATTTTTGGGTCTTCAGGTGAGACAGACTTCTGTTTTCTTATACAGTACTTGTTTCTCATAGCAGCATCAGTGATTCTTCTTCCCCCTCCTCTTACTGTATCAGTATCAGCAGTGCAGTCACATGCTTCATGCAAACTATTTTTGTTCTGCAGTGCTTACAGGAATCACATCTAATAATTGTCCTGCCCTATTGCATCATTGTTTTTTTTGTTTTGTTTATTGTGTGGGTTTCAGGCAGGGAAAATTCTGCTGCATTACAGAGACCAACACAGGCAAATAATCACACGATTTCTCATTTGGGGATTCATACTGGTATGTTTGCTTATTGTTTGTTTTTGCTAATACTTTATGTAATAACTTTCATAAAAAAATTACAATTATACTACTGTTCAAAAGTTTGGCTTAATAAAAGAAATCATCATTTAAAAACTGCATTTTGCATTTACTTGCATTATCTTTGTGTAATATTAAAATTAGTTTGATGATCTGAATCTTTTAAGTGTGACAAATATGCAAAAAATTTAAAAAACAGGAAGGGGGCAAAAACCTTTTCACACCACTGTATATATATATATATAAATGCTGTTCTTTTGAACTTCTGATCTATTTATCAAAGAATTCTGTAAAAATGCATTCCGGGTTCCACAAAGATATTATGCAGCACAACTGTTTTCAACATTGATAATAATAAGGAATGTTTCTTTAGCAGCAAATCAGCATATTAGAATGATTCCTGTAGGATCACGTGACACTGAAGACTGAAGTTTTGTCATCATAGGAATGAACTGCATTTTAATATATATTAAAATGCAAAATAAAATGTATTTCAAATTGTAATAATATTTCACAGTATTACTGTTTTTACGGTAATAATTATAATATATGCCGAAAGTGAAATAAATAAAGAATAATATTGCCTGTCATTAGTACAAAAGAGAATACAACAGGGTGATATCTGGACTCCAACGAGAAGGGATATATTTTGTGATAATGAGTTCATTATGCCACTTTTTACACAGCTACTCACCAAATACATTAACAAATCAACATGAAATACTAATTTGAGTAGAAATTACTTTGTGAGACGAAAGAGACCCTAGAGAGACCTAAAATTGACATGGTACAATTGGCACAACGGTCAATTATTCACTTTAGCAGTCAAAATAAAAAAAAAATATATATATATATATATATATATATTTCACCACAGAGTGCCAAGATTGACCAAAAACAATCAAGTAATTCAGAGTCATGTAATAGTGTTGGCTAAAGTTATTAGGGATGCATTTGACTTTTTTGCAAAAACTGGTTTAGCTGGCAGATGATTCAAATATAATTTGAAATTCACACAGTGAAATAATATTTAAATAAAGCTTTGTTAGAGGTTTAAAATTGTGGGAATCTCATGCTGTCTAACTTCGCATTAAGGGAATCATCTCAGCTGTATTGACCAAGTGCTCCAGAAATGACGGCTTCATCCCTGTCAACAAAAACTTGTGGTAAACTCAGTCTTGATTGCATGTATCTGTAGTTTTATTCATTATAATTTAAAAATATATATGTCATTTTTCATTTGTGGTCAGAAAAATCTTCATTTTATGAGAGCACTTCCAGAAGCAGGAAGTATAATACCAGATTTGCTTACTGATTAGAAGAGGAATGTATTGTATGGTGCATGATTCATGGCTTCTGTCTTGTGACTTTCAGGTCTTTGTCCTATGTTACGACTCTCAGCTGTTTAGCTTTTGTGGCGCTGGTAGTTTTTTACTACTTGGTGGATGTAAAGAAGTGGTGGTCTGGCACTCCCTTCTTCTACCCTGGTAAGCTCTTTAGACTTGAGGTTCCACAGCCAGAATGAATGTACCTAAACTCATGACTGCACCCACAATTTGTTTATTTGGCTCTTGCGTTTAAGAGTTGACTCTTATAAGTTAGTAGTTATCATTGTGACAGTAACAAACCTCAGCACTCAAGGGGGCGATAGAGTTACCTTTAAAATGCCTGTGCCGTTAAACTGGATTTGTTGTTATTCAGGTAGCTAGCTATAATCATGTTGACAGTTTAACCAAAGTTAAAAAAGAAGACGGCTTTAACGTCGTGGCTGCATGATAACAAAAAAAAATATATATATATATAGTTTTTTTTTTAAGCATAATCGTCTGCAGTCTTCGCTGGATATTTATCCTCAAAATGTTTAATTTAGGATTTGTTTTATCTTGCATTGGTGACAAGCCTCCACAATCTTTCATTGTTGCGGTTGCCAGATGTAAAGAGTTTAAATTCCCCAGTCAGAACTTTTCTCTTAAATGAATGCATGTGGTTTACTTAATCTTTCCAACCTGGCAACCATGCACATACACTATTGCTACAATGCATAAAAAGTGCTGATGATCGGAACACCAGCAAAAATGTAAGTTGGAGTTTAGCCACTGATATTTTGCTCAAATTAAAGAGTAATATAGTCAGTTGGTTTTCTTTTACGTGGCTGTTTGCTGCAGCTAAATCTATGAGCAAATCGTGCAAGTTGATGTTCTCTTGATTTGTGCGTTCTCTTGATGTGAAAATGCAATAATTCTGTTAAAAAATATATTAATTTTGAACATATTCGCCATTAACAGTTTAACAATTATCATGCAGCCCTAGTTCATGCTAACTAACACTATTCTGCATACTTGTGTTTGTTTTATGAATTGCTTTCAAGTTTACCTTTTATTTGGCAGGTATGAATTCCATTTTGGTGTATGTGGGTCATGAAGTGTTTGAGGAATATTTCCCTTTTCGTTGGAAAATGGCCAATAACCAATCACACGCAGAGCACCTGGCACAGAACCTCGTGGCCACCTCCATATGGGTGATCATAGCCTATCTCCTCTACAGGAAGAAGATCTTCTGGAAGATTTGAAAGTGTATCTCTGATTTTAGGAGCTGCTCTTCATTGTGAAAGAGATGATTTGGATATTTTTAGTTGTAGAAAATCAGCAGATCTCGGAACATCTGTGCAGAGACTAAAACTCACACATGATCCAGGAATAGAACTTGGCTATTATTTGTGAAGAGCAGAAAGAAGAAAAAAAGAAGAGCATGTGACTGTGCCAAGATACCTCTGTGGACTCAACAAAGCCCTCAGAATGAATGCCAAAATGCCAAGGCCAGATTCTGCTAAAACTGAATTCAATCAACTCGTTTAGGTTAATGAATGACATTTTGAAGCTCAATGATGGATTATGATTGATAATGGAATTTCCTAAATTATGATATGAAAGAATTCTGAAAGTCTCGGGACCAATTTAAATGTAATTAGGGTATTGATGCATGCAATTATGAAACTAAAAGCAAATGAGTAGGGGAATAGAACCCCAGACTACCAAAAAATAAAAGGTCTTCCATCAAGGTCTACAAAACATGCTGAAACATCCAGTCTTATCCAGGCAAAATAATATCACACAATGTTATGTTTAAGTTTTAATGTAATGAATGCTAGGATTGGGTTGTTTTACTTTTTTATTTTCTTTTATGGACTTTCTGTCTTTGATACTGTGGTTTTATTCTTTATATCTTAAGATGAAAGTATTACAGTTAAATGGATGTATGCTAGTGAGAGAAAAAGAGTGTATGTTCTACCTTCTCAGAAAGTCTGGAGATTTGCACAACGTGGAGTGCCAAATGTAGTGTACTTTATGGTTTCTCTGATTTAACAGTGTTCTTGTTTATTACAGTTTACCAATGACTTGTTACATCTGCCACATAAATCAAATTATAGAAAGAAAAAGAAAAAAAAAACAGTAATCACTGACATATTTCCCATACACATCGCTGCTTGAAAAAATAATTGTTCTAAGAGAAGGGAAAATATTGATCTATCATATCTGTTGCCAGCTCGCAAAATCAATTCCATCTTTGTAATGGATAATGGATATTTTATACATGTATGAACTATGTTTCCTCATGTATATCTTTATTTTATACTTATCAACACGGGATGTGGTAAAAATAAAACCATTCTTAGAAAAGAAAAAGATTCAAATATTTTTTTCTATAGGTCTATCATAATGCGTGCGGTAGAGGGTTAAACCTCTCGCTCTTTATTTGCTTGTTTTTTTAACACATTGATGAGGTGATTGTGGGACCAGGAGTGCGGTCTGTGTGTCATTAGTATGTGGTACCTGAAATATGACTTTAAAAGCATCTTTTTTTGGGGGGTGGGAATAACAAGTTGCTAAATAAGGACTATAACTACTCCACAGAGTTGCATGCTTGCTGCATACATGCTTGCCGAATGCACTTTTGTACAAAACATAAAATCTAATAAAATTATCATACTCCAAAATTGAAAACCACTAAACCAATAGGAAATTTTTACTGGGAACCCATAATAAACTGACATGGTTAACTGTACGTCTACTGTACATATATGCCCCAGCATCATTTACGTCTCGAAAAATAAAATTAGGTATTTATCTTGACAAAAAAAAAATTATATATATATATATATATATATATATGTGTGTGTGTGTGTGTGTGTGTGAGTGTTATTAAAAGGAATAGTTCATCCCACCTAAATTAGTCAAGCTTGCCTGCAAGTCATTCCAAACCTCCACGACTTTTGACTTATTTATTTATTGTTTGTTTGTTTGTTGATACAATTGAAGTCAATGGTAACCAAAACGCCTTAAAATAACGTCTTTTGTGTTCCTCAGAAGAATGAAAGTCATGCCATTTTGGGACGACATGATGGCGTGTAAATGATGACAGAATCTTCAGTTTTGGGGTAACTATACATTTAACTTTGAAAAAAGGGGTTGGAATGATTTGTGACTAATCTTAGAAAACAAACTTGCAACAAAAATGCCTTCACCCTTCACACACACCGTTCTTTGCTGAACCAATTAAGCGTTACTGCGCCTTTAAGAAACCTGTTCAACGGTGAGATTTAACAGTGCGCATGCTTGAGAATAGAGGAAGTCGGTAATGGTGACAGATGATGTGGACGTGAAACAGTTGAGAGCATCAGCGCGTCTTCAAGAAAGAAAACAAAAGCCTCTTAAAGACGGACTCGCGGATATGAAGCGCGGTTTTTGAGAGGTGTCTGAGTTTCTCTGGACAGAGACAGAATACACCCACAGTCCGCGATGATGGCAGAATGCGATCCCACCGACGGCGAGCCGGAGAAAGGCGGCGGGGATTTAACGTTAACACCGGAGACGAACTTTCTCTCGTCGGAGGTGCCCGCGGTGTTATTTGAAAAGACCCGGCCGTCGCCGTCCCTAGGACTCTCGCTGAACCCCGGGGCAGCCGTCCGGATCTCGAACTCGACGGAAAGCGTGCTGACGGAGCTGGAAGCGGACGGGTCCGGGGAAGAGGCGCTACTGTTACCGGGACCTGCCGGAAATCTCTCACCTCGGGCTGGAAGAGAGAAAAGGACGCGGAGGAACAGACACAGCTCATCATCTGATAATCTGGCATCCCCAGGTGAGATATATGAGCTGGATATAATCTGATCAACATGTATTCAGATTAAACTGGCTCAAAGTAGAGGCGTTACACTTCAGCACCTTTTGTTTTGCTTTCCTTACAATGCGTATTTGTTGCATTGTGATGTTTCCGGTTTGCAAATAACACTTTTTAACACAATCAACAGAATTCACACAGTTATTAATTAAACATAATTAAAACGGCCCACCACGCCTTTATTTAAATATAGCCGCTCCCCCTCTTAAACGACAACTTTTTTGTCACTTTGTTGTATAATCTGAATTCAACCGGAGAAAGAACTCACTAGGGACCCGTCTGCATTAGTTTCCATAGCAACCGCGCGTGTTCTGTTAATGTTGCGCGCAGTGTTCCAAAATCATCTAATATGCCTTGGGGAACTTTGAAAGGAATTCAATTCAAAACATTTTTTTTAGAGAGAGGAGAGTTTTTGCCTCCTGTCCTAGACATATAAAACAAGTTTGCATGCAAAAGATTATGAATACTCTAAATATTCTAAATTCCCTCCCACACATCTTGCTCTCTGTGCTGTTACTCCATCTGCTTTATCTCAGAACATGGTCCGTTATGCAACCATTTCCACAGTTCAGCTTACATGCTCTTTGAACCCGGGGCACACGTGTACAGGTGACACCACAGCAGCTGCTGGGATATCTACTCAACTCTTGATATTCATGCTTGGATGTTTCTGTGTGTTGCATGTGGTTTAGTCTTTCCAGGTGCATCTGTACTAACAAGATTACATGTGCAGCTGTGGGCTGTATTGATGCAATAAATGTTTCTTGCATATTAATAACAGGTTCACTTGAATGCAGATGAGCCAGAGAGCAGAGAGACACTGGCTTCTGTTTTATCGCTAAGATCCACATCTAAGCCTTCATTAAAGGAAAATGAAACACTAGAGGCTCTCAGGAGTTGCATTGCCTAGATAAAATGAAGATAATAGCATTAGCGTTGCATCACACTGTGATGTGCTATGTTTGCTTCGTTTTATTGGCATAACTATCTCCACAAAGCATGCAAATAGTACATTTAATTAATACATTTAAATTCAGCCTCCTTGCTGATATTAGACAATATGATTGGTGAGATCTAAAGAAAGTCACATTACGCTTGAAAATGCCCTGAAATCGAGATGAGATGGAAGTAGTGAGTGACTGATCTTTTATTTCCTTACTGTGGTGGTTTAGGCTACATCTGAGTGTTCCGGCTTATCAATAAATGTAAAAAAAAGTGTAGAGTGGGGAATCGGTTTTTGTATCGGTTGACTGGATTTTAATATGTGGGCACTGGACGGATGGATCCAAATGAACACAAGCTTGCAGGGGCAAGGTTTAAAGGGGTCATATAATGCTACGTGCACTTTTACAAGTTGTTTGAACTAGGGCTGCACGATTAATCGCCATTGTTTCACCGCTGGAGCAGTTGTAGACAAGAATGACTCCTATGCGATTGAGGTCTTCTGTTGTTGGATGTAATAATGAAGATAGCAGTCGTCGTTTACTCCCAACATCAGAGCCGCTGAAGATGCAGTGGATTATGTTTGTTTTTGAAGGGAATGCGCCCCCGATCTACCTAAATGCGTCT